GTCCTGTCTTTTTTTGTCAAAATAAGTGCAGCTGCCATGAAAATGTGCTTCAAATTGGCTTTTCGCATGGTGCTGCTGGTACTGGTGGTGGTGGTTTTTATGCATTTTTGCACACTATGCAAATTGCTCTTTCCAGGAAGATCTAACAAATTTAACTTGGTACTATATTGCAAAGTATAAACCCATATTTGAGACACTGCTGGGTCACTTTGAGAGTTATCGCGTAAAGCTACATGTACTTTACCCTCTTTTCAATACCCGCAGTAATATATGTTCTGGCTTGCTGGTAACTCTCCAAACAGAAAGATTAAGCATTACTAAGGTAACTGCCAACTAGGAGTGCATAGAGCATCGGCTAAGATACAGCCGCTTTCTCTCTCCTTAAATTTTCCATTGTCCATCAATTATGCACCGAAAATGTATGCTCTCGCAATTTTTGTAAGCAGTCACGTTCAGAGGCTAGGTGCTATATCGACAGGCTTACTTTCACGCACTCGCATTCGTTATCCGCTGTGCCTGTGCAAAATTATTTAGTAGTTACACATCCATAAGCAGTATGCTTTTAAAATAGTGTTAAAAAATGCTTCACCTGCTTCTAATCGTTGTTGTGTTTGTTAGTTGCAAAGCGCCAAAAATTTTTATAGGATATTCCCTCAGCACCGGAGGATAGCCTGATTGCACCAAAAGTGCCTGTATCACCGCAAATCACCATACAGCTACAACCGGATATGACTGGACAACTAAGGCTCGCAACGCCTGCTCCCGCTCCGACCGTACAGCCGGAGCGCAGAACGGAGCAACCACAGCCAGAGCGAAGACCAGAAGAACTGGCGCGGGGACGCAGACCAGAGCAACCACCACAGGAACGTAGGCCGGAGCAACCACCGCCAGAGCGTAGACCAGAGGAGCCATCGCGGGAACGCAGACCGGAGCCAGAGCGTAGACCGGAGCAACCACCACCGGACCAGGAACCGGAACACTTGGTAGAGAGACCAGAAGTGCATTATCGGTCGGAGTACAGACCGCCCATATCCCCAGAAATTACCATATCCACCTACGCACCGCAACAGCCAACTGCGCCGGAATACTGGCCGCACCTGAGGCAACCAGCGCAAGAAATTCCTGGTAGACCGGAACATCAACCAGTGGCATATACTCCGCCACCACCCCCCCATCCCGAACATCGCCCGCCCGTTTCCCACCTCGAAATTCCGTACAGATGGGAACATCCATCACAGCGACCAGACTACCGGCCACCACAGCCGGAGCACCGACCCCCATCTCCTGAAGACCGACCGGAACAACCATCACACCGTCCAGACTACCGGCCACCACGGCCGGAGCACCGACCCCCATCCCCTGAAGACCGACCAGAACAACCATCACACCGTCCAGACTATCGACCACCACATCCGGAGCACCGACTCCCATCCCCTGAAGACCGACCAGAACAACCACCACACCGTCCAGACTATCGACCACCACAACCGGAGCACCGAC